ACAGGCATAGAGAGCCAGGGAGAGAAGGCGAGAAAGAGAGACAGACAGACAGAGAAGAAAGACAAGACAGAGAGAGAGAGAAAAGAGAAAGAGAGGGAGGGAGGGTGGGAGAGAGAGAGACAGACAGACAGACAGAAAGAGAGAGAGAGAGAGGGGGGGGGAGAGAAAGAGAAAGAAAGAGAGAGGGAGAGAGATACAGAGAGAGAAAGATAGAGAGAAAGAGATACAGAGAGAGAGAGAGAGAGAGAGAGAGAAAGTAAGAGAAAGGAGGATAGAGAAGAGAAAGATGGATTGGTGGATTGGTTAACTGGTTGGCTGCTTGCCTGATTAGTGGATAAACAGGTAGATAGATAGGTAGTTAGATAGATATATAGATTTTTTAGACAGTCAGTCAACTGATAGATAGACAAACAAACAGATAGATATATGAATTGAGACCTACATACAAATACAGATAGACAGGAAATTAGATAGGCAGTTAGACTGATAAAGAAAGATAGAGGATCAGACAGATAGATAAGTAGATTAATAGACATATAATTACTTATTTACATAGATAGATTGCGAGATAGATAGATAGATAGATAGATAGAGAGAGAGAGAGAGAGAGAGAGAGAGAAAGTATGAGTGAAAGTGAGAAAGTGAGGGAGAGAGTGAGAATAAGAGTGAGAAAGTGTGTGTATGTGTGAGAGAGAGAGAGAGAGAAACAGACAGACAGAGAGTTTTATAGAAAGAAAAGGAGAAAGACTGGAGGAAAGAAGCATAAAACTCATTTTTCTCTCCTATCTTTCTCTGGGAGTCGGCCCTTGAAATCTGTTATCGTATTATTTGGGTCAGAGTAGATTATGTTATGAGATTCCATCTTTTCATAAGCCCCACCCTCTCCAGCCTTTCTCTCTCTCTCTCTCTCTCTCTCTCTCTCTCTCTCTCTCTTTCTTTCTCTCTCTCTGCCCCCTTCCCCTTTATATATATATATATATATATATATATATATATATATATATATATATATATATATATATATATATATATGCATTAATCTCGCTATCTGTATTTTTGCCTCTGTCTATCTGTTTATCTCCCTCTGTGTCTCTCTCTCTCCTTCTTCTTCTCTCTTCTTATTCTCTCTCTCCCTCCCCTCTTCTCTTCCTTCTACTTCTCTCTCTCTCTTTCTCTCTCTCTCTCTCTCTCTCTCTCTCTCTCTCTCTCTCTCTCTCTCTCTCTCTCTCTCTCTCTCTCTCTCTCTCTCTCTCTCTCTTCGCCTTCTCTCGAATAATAACGCCTTGGGATATAATAGCACTTAAGTAGGGCCTGAGGAAGATGATTATATTTTCCGACAAGGGTGATAAACGTTTTCCTTTTACTGCCTGCGTTTCTTGCACGTGTTAACATTTTGCGAAGTTCATGATGATAACTACTTAATTTGATATTTAAAAGTTACTGTTAGAGACTTACTGTTTTACATACGCAGATGTTAACGCCTAGATAAACATGCTTGGGGTTACGGAAAACAAAGAGAAAAATTAATGACAAGGCTGGTAATGCGCTGACGTCCACCGGTAATGCATGCTCATTGCAATGATAACAGCAATTAATTCCTTTGGAGAGAGAGCAGAAGGTATGCACAAGGGAGCCTGCTAGCTCACCCTATCATCCCAATGGAAACATTTTCTCCCCTAAACGTCATGCACTTGCAGGTTTTCGTCGCCAGCCTGACCAAGCTAGACTCTCCCCCCGCACGTCCTCTCGGTCGTGATGTTCCGATCGAGTCTCATTCCCGTCAAAGGAACCGGAAATAATGAAGTCCTGTTTGGCATTAAAGCTCACCTTGTTGGTTAGCATCACGCATGGGATTCGATTCCGTTTTCTGTTCCGTTCGTTGATTCGAAAATGGTTCTCGTTCTTGCGAGGTGAAGGAATTAAGCACAGGACAGTCACTTATATTAGTATCAGGACACACGCAAATGCATGTATTTGTAAGTATGCCCATAAATATACATAGTATGTACTGTACCATGTTCAATAGTCTACGGATGCCGTTTTACACTATCTGTAAATGACCAGCTGCTTAACAGTGTGTAGTAGATAATATATTAAAGAAAACGGTTGCTGCTCACCTGGACGACTAGTTAATAATTCAAAGGAAAAAATAAACGGTAATACGGGTACCATGATCAAATGAAACAGCCACAGGACGAAATAAATTAGTAAAAAGGTAAATGAATAACTAAAAATATAAATCTATTACATTTTTATCGCCCGATGAGGAGTCTTACATGAAGTCATTATTTTTTTCTTAATTTTCAGTGTGTTTCATTCCCCGTAATATGAAAGTCAATTAAATTAACATCATCCAAGTGACAAGCGAGGATCCTGAGGGCGGGATAAGTCATCCAGACTTAGACAGGCACTGATTTTATAACAATTGAATAATAGCGGAAATATCACTGGCTGTATTCGTGTTTCTTGTGCAATTAAGTAAAATTTCATAAGTGTATATGCACACACACACACACACACACACAAACACACACACACACACACACACACACACACACACACACACACACACACACACACACACACATATATATATATATATATATATATATATATATATATATATATATATATACATATATATATGCGCGTGATAATAACAATAATTTAGGAGTTTGTACTGTGCTCATGTTTCCACCAAGTACCCTAAATCAATCATAGTCTACCTAGAAAGTCTAATCAACTGAGCATTTGTCAACCCAGACAACCCACTACAATCCTTTAGCAATTACTGAGTGAATTCTATTAACGATCCTCCTTATAACAAACCAATTAAACACAACAGAAAAAATAGCACCTATTAGATTACCCTTGAATATCTATATATCATAAAGCTCGTAAGTAGAACACACTTAAAGAAAGACAGACTACAAACAAACAAAATGCATAAGAAAAGGATCGTATGTTAAGTAACACACAAGAAAATTAATTAAAAAATGATAATAAACCTGGCTCAGCGTCAAGATCTGTGAAGAAATGAAAATATTCTTCACTAGCAATAACTACTAATTTTCTTCTGAGGAAATTATTCTTCTGTTGCAAATTCGGGTTTGTGCTTTTTCAACTTTTGCTTGCTTGCTCTTTGCCGCTTATGACCTTAGCTGTTGAGGCGGTAGAACATTTTAAATAATCAGTCAATCTCTTTTTCTTTTACTCTTCTCATTTATTCATACATACACACACACACGCACATATATTTGTGTGCGTGAACGAGTGTCCTTGTCCGTGTGAACGTGAGAATATGCGTGTGTATGCATGTGTATGTCCGTAAATATACTTGTACATCCAAAGACCCTTTAAAGAGGGGGACGGGAGTTAACGCTGTTTACCAATGCTTATAATCCACTGTTTGTCCGTACTTCCGGTCCGTGGATTCGAGTCCAGAGGAAAGGGGATTCTCGTCCGGTCGCTTCCGCTTCGCTTAGTTGGCTGCGCTGCTTTGAGGGGATTTCGTTTCGGGTAAATAACATTGGCGATGACTTAACGCGCAGAAGGGAAGTGGAGGGGAGGGGAGAGGAGGGAAGGGGAGGGGGGCGCAAAGGAATGTCAGTTGGTGTTTTATGAGGGATGGAATAGATGGAATTCGTTGAAAGGTTGTATTGGTGGCGTGTGGATGGATGGAAGGTTTGTCAATGAGGAAAGTAAGAGATATGTGACAGGGAGTAAAGTCTATGGAAACTCAGTCTGTCTATCTGTCTGTCTGTCTCTCTCTCTCTCTCTCTCTCTCTCTCTCTGCCACACACACATATATATTTGTGTGTGTGTGTGTGTTAGTAGATTTTTTTTTTGTGTATGTGTATGTACGCATACATCTATGCGCCTTTTTCCTTATCTATGTTTCAGAATCTAAAATTTTAACGTTTTTTTTCCGAATTCCATCATTATTTTTCTAGTGTGTATAACCAAACGGGCGGTATACAGTCTAAATAAATGTTTACACGTATATATATATATATATTTTTTTTTCTGTCATGTTTTTTCACAGAAATGTAGATGTACTTTTTTGGGGTATTTACCTTCTGAACGAGACTGTTCAAATGTTTACAGATTTTTTTTTCTTTTTGTATAACCTAGAGTGAATCTGGATAATTTAAAAGTTGATTACAGAATAAAAGAAAAAAACAGGAATAGGGAAAATAAAAGGGAAAAATAAATAGTTAATAAACGCAAATTCATGTAAACATATGTTCGTTTTTATAGCTTCTTTAAGCATGAAGAAGCAGTATAGTGGAAAGGCATTAGGCAGATTAGTGTATTTTCTTGCTCTTCCCTCCTTTGTCTTATCTATAACTGGATCCATGTACAAATCTAGGATCAAATTAGAAGATATATTACCAGTGCGATCCGTGAGAGAAAATGGTCCTGAAGGGAAAATGTGGTAGACTTATGTATTTCTAAATTGTAAAATTAGGCATGGGTAGAGGGCCTGAGGTTTGTCAGTGGTTTCTAGAACAATATCTTATCGTCCATTTTATCGTCTTAACAACTGCTGTTCATTGCAATGTATTTAGCGCCTCTGAAGCGCCAGATTAAGGTTGACATGTCTGTTATTACTCATATTTTTTTCAGTATTATTCTTTATTTTGGCGATGTGATGTTCTAGGAAGTGTTATCAAGTAGGATCGAATCCCTGTTAGCATTATCAATATCAGTTTAATTTCCATCGCAGTGACAAAACATTCATAGTTATTTGATGGCTATGGTTGTCCTCATTATTACTGTTGTCGTTTTTGCTACCAGTTTTAACCGTCATCATTATCCGCTACTGTTAATATTGTTATTGCAGGATTTTCATCAACGATATATATATTTTTTTTATTGTAAGTATAGGTATTAATCTTATCAACTCGATTATTGTTATAATCCTTGTATGTTAATGATTAGTTGTAACAGTAACAACAGTTATATTGCTACTTTGCTTTTGCTATGATAATCGCCGTTGTCATCGTCATGCTGTGTGTACAATATTGAATATACGGTTCATTAAAGATATTTGTTGATATGTTTATTTGTTACGTTATTTCCATAATTATTACAGTAGACAATATTGCATATATTGAGAAATTGGAGATTGGATACGATCTTGTTTCTCTGAATTTCAGACGATTTCAGTTCATAGTCTCATGCAGAGACAAAACGAAATCCTAGGAGAGTCTGTGACGTTACACGATTTCCGTCTCTTGGGTATCCGGCGATCCGACCGCGAGCTTGTATGAAGTCCTACGACTGCAGGTCCTGGGTCTCGGTTCTCCGGCGGCCGGCTGGCTCTTCCTCTTCACTTCGATTATCCGGAACTTCTCTCGCTTTCCCTCTCCGTCCGCAGGGTTCCTCAGCTCAGGACCTAATCCCCCCGTGTCCGTGGGCGACGAGGGCGGACGTCGACGAGCCCCCGTGGCCTCAGGATCCTCTCCAGGACGTCGCTGGGGCGGAGGGAACGGCGGCGGCGAGGAGGACAGGCTCGCTCCCGAGGACGTTCTCGGATCTTCCTCCTGCGGCATTTCGAGCTTCCAGTGCACCATGACGTCTGCGTGGCTGGGCGAGACAGGCGAAGGGGGACCTCGGGGCTCCAGGCAGACGCCCGCGCTGTCCTCGCTGTTGCGCCGGAACCTCACGCCCACGCTCTCCTCGCTACTCCGCCTCGTCCTCACGCCCACGCTCCCCTCGCTACTCCGCCTCGTCCTCACGCCCATGCTCCCCTCGCTACTCCGCCTCGTCCTCACGCCCGCGTTCCCCTCGCTACTCCGCCTGTTTCTCACGCCCACGGCTCCCTCGCTGTTCCGCCTGATCCTCGCGGCCGCGCTCTCCAAGCTGTCCAGCCTGATCCTCAGTCTTCCTTTCCCTCGATGCGCCGCCCCCCCGCTCTCCCTCTTGCCTGAAGGAGTGTCACTTGGGTCCTCTATGTTGACTGCCACGTGGCCCTGCTTCAGTTCTGCGCGGGGAAATCTCAGGTTCTCTGCGGTGGTCGAAATAGAGCGAAATAGTATCGCGTGTATGCAAATGAGTCCATCTTCCCTTACCCTTTGATCAGCAAACTGTTCTAAATGCTCGAAAAAAAACATGAATAAAAGTAAAATGGGCCATTGTTTATTTTGTGTTTTGCAGAGGAAATGGACCGACAAATCTGACAACGGTTTATTAATTTCACACAAATAAATGCTTTCCATATCGCTCTACTGCACAGTCATCTAAATTATGCAAACTGTGATTACCTTATCTGAATTTAAATTGCATGTGTTTATGGGGATGCAATCATGTATATGAACTAGATGTACATACATACAGAATGAAGAGAAGAGATTGTATGTGTTCGTTGAGTAGAAAGTGACTAATATTGTGGGATTTATAAAAATATTTAAAAAATTATTCGAATTCTCGTTAATTTGAACAGAACAGTTAAATGCAACGTCTAACTGGCTAACTGACTGAAAAAAACTGACTGTCTGTCTGCCTATCTTGGTGTGCCTCGCCCACTCTCTCCCTTTTTCTCATTTTCATTTTCTCTTTCTCTTTCTCTCTCCCTCTCCCTCTCCCTCCCTCTCTCTCTCTCTCTCTCTCTCTCTCTCTCTCTCTCTCTCTCTCTCTCTCTCTCTCTCTCTCTCTCTCTCTCTCTCTCTCTCTCTCTCTCTCTCTCTCTCTTTCTTTGATTTTATTGCATATTCGTACCTGATCCGGTGCTTTCATCTCTTGTGTCTCTTTTGTTTTCATCTTTTCTTTTCTTCCTTTTCGTGGATTCTTCTTTTCTTTGCCTATGTTTCTTCTTTCTTTGCTTTCTTCCTTCTTCGGTGTCTCCATCTTCGTGTTCGATTTCGTCTTGTTCCCTTGACCGCCCGGCATTTTTCTCTTCTTTTCCTCTTCTTCCTTGTTTCTTTCTCTCTTTCACTTTACCGTTGCTTTCTTCCCTTGTTCCATCCACCTCCTGTTCTCTCTTCTTTTCACGCCTTTTTCGTTTTTTGTCCTTCTTCGTCTTCTTTCTTTTCTCTTGCATTCCGTCGGTTTCGAATGCTTCCTCTTCGTTGGTCGATGCGCCTCTTCTTCTCCCACTTCCGTTTCTTGTGGATTTTGCTATTCCCTCTTTCCTTCCTTCGTCGTCCTCTTTTCTTGCGTCATTCCCTCCTTCCTCGTCCGCTCGCCTCGCGCCTATTGGCTGAAGCACGAACGCCTCCCTCTCCTCTTCTGTTCCTCCTTCTCCTCCTCCTCCTCCTCTCGACGTCCTCCTCACCACCAGCACCTCGACCTCCGACTCCTCGTCCTCCTCTCCTGCCGCCAGGATCTCGATAGTCTCTCTCTCCTCCTGCCTCTTCAGGACCTCTCCCTGCAGCTTGATGGCCGCCCCCAGCAGTGTGCGGATGGGCGGCTGGGAGGACTGGTCGATCCTGCGCTTGTGGCGACGGTGCTTCCTCGCGGGGGAGTTGGGCGGGACGGGGTCCAGCTTTTCCTCCGGGGGCGTGAATGTGAGTGACATCTGTTGGCGAAAATATCGATGGGTCAGACCTGTTGGCGACATCTGTTGGTTGTGTTTGATCGTATAATCGATGTTATGGATACCTGCTGGCGAGGCGTTTATCATTCGTTTTTTGTTGTTACAAATAATGATAACATTAATGATGATAATAATAATAATATTTATTTTATCATTACTGTTATTATCATTTTAACAGTAGTTGTACTATCATTATAATAATAATAATAATTATTATTATTATAACCATAATCATTGCTGTTCTTATTATTATTATCATTATATTCATTACCATTAATATTATAATATAATAATAATGATAATAAATAATAATAATTATTATTGTTATTATTATTATTTCATTATCATTATTACTATTATTATTTATATTATATATATTATTTGTATTATTACTATCATTATTACTTTATTATTGTTATCATTATTATTATCATCATTATTATTATTATCATTATTACTATTATTATTATTATTATTATCATCATTATTATTATTATCAATATTATCATTATCATTATCATTATTATTATTATCATTAATATCATTATTGGTAGTAGTATTATGGTGATGATGATGATTATCGTCATCATTGTTATTGTCGTTACTGTTAATCTTATCATTATTATTATTATTATTATTATTATTATTATTATTATTATCATTATTATTATTATTATTATTATTATTATTATTATTATTATATTTTTAGTAGTAGTATCATTATTATCATTATTATCATTACTATTAGTATCATTATTATTATCATCATTATGTTATTGTTATTATAATTATC